AGTTTCAGAATGTTGTACATCTTTGCCCGTGTTGCTTTTAAAAAAATACGTATCTTGATTCAGCATAAAGTACATAAAGGTCCTAGCATTAAAGAAACATTTAACATGTTTAAGACACAACAGAAATACTGTGCTGTTTCATGTGGTAAGAGATGTGGAATTCTTAGTGACAGTAGGTCACCACATCAAATTATGTGACTGACTTTTGAGGACTATACATGTTTTTTTATTTGATTGCCAGTTGTTTTTTTTGTACCAGTCTGAATGTATGATGCTTTCTAAAGTAAAACAAATCTGCTTGAAAACAGCCACTATAGGTAGTTGGAAGAGAAACCTTTAGAAATGTGTCAATTACATTTATTGCATGAAACAATTTCTTTGTGAATTTAAACAGCTTGCAGAAATAAAAATGCAGTGCCATGGAGCATGTTCCAGTCTCCATAATGTACTATAGTACTTGGCACTAGTGAAGCTTGAATACTGTGTTCAGTTTTGGGCCCCTCACTACAAGAAGGACGCTGAGGTGCTAGAGTGTGTCCAAAAAAGTGCAATGAAGTTGGTGAATGGTCTAGATCACAAGTCTTAAGAGGAGCAGCTATGGGAACTGGGGCTGTTTAGACTGGAGAAAAGAAGGCTGAGCAGAGACCTTAATCACTCTCTACAGCTACCTGAAAGGAGGTTGTAGTGAGGTGGTGTCACAATTTGACTCAGACCCACCAGGGTAAGCGCTGTGTGCTTACAGTGATGGAAACAAGTACAGATGGTTGGAAACATATCCTGTGCATCATACCACAGCCAGGATACTACCCAAGGCCTTGAGAAGCAAATTGTGTTACATCCTGGGGGTTGATGGTGATGGATGAACGGAGTCCTCCCCGGACGCTGGCCATGGATGGAAGAGGAGGGAAGAAGAAGCAGGAAGGAAGTTTTTTTAGTATCTATTGCTTTAATGTTGGCAACCCTATTAATCCTTCATTTAAAACAAAAAGTTCCGTGGCTCTGGGTCACATGTGCAGTAAGCTTCCAAACATTTTAATATGCAAAATCATATTTTGATACCACAGACTATTAAGCAGTGACAGCACAATCATACTGTGCTTCAATAGATATAATAGCCTGACTATGTTATCGTGTACATACCATTAGACCATTCAGAATTTGGGGCTTTTTTCAGATCAATGTTATGTAGAAATAAAGATTGAGAAGCAAACTAGAATCAGCCACTCAAAGGGAAGCAAAGACGTTTTGTCTCCTTTGAGTTTTGTCTGATTGCTTGGTCTGTGAAGACAGCCTAGCTGTAGGGTTTTTTTAACGCTTTTAATGTCTATGTTGGATCTTGTAGAGCCCTTTGATGGAACAAATACTGCTAGAGCTGTACATGAAAAACAGAAGTTTGATCTAATCAGAGATGAATTTCTTCAGGTAAAAAGTAAATCTCATTTAATTTTTCCAGTCCCTTTATACAAATGCTAGTAATTGAACCTGCCCACTTCTGATGTTTGTATTATGAATATTTTTTATGCTTTATACTATTTAAATAATATAAATGTATTTTAAATATAATTTTTTTATTGTAAGAAAAATGTTTAGTAAGAGTATTTATTAAATGTCTGCCATTATGCTTAAGTTGAAATGGGTACTTGAAATAGTAAACCCTTTGTCTTAGATTTTTTAATATGTGTAAAATTCTAATGATAGTTAATAATTTTAGAATTGTAACTCTGTCTTCATTATTTCTACCTACATGAATCTGACTTAATAAACATGTTTTATTCTTCTTACTATCCCTTATTTAATAAATATCACCAGCAATGGTGGTTTTTGACAATTTAATTAAATTGATAACTTTCTTTAGGGAGATTACACTCAAAATTTTAGAACGTGAGTAGACCAAAAGATCTTTCACTGTTCCAGTCAGTGGAGGAGGCAAGGACACTGAAGCAAGCAAGGATCTTGCTCCTGGTTAAATATCCTTTTTCTAAAAATCCTTGCTGCCAACTCTCCTTTCTTCTTGTGTCCTATCTAGGTATTTCATTTGAAATTCCAGCTCAGCTCCTAGCTTTCTGAGATCTCTGTGACTATTCCTAATGTAGTTATAACTAGGGAATAGTGCACAGAACTGGATTCCAGCTTTAACCAGTTAGACAGCCCTGTTATGCTCTGATTGGAGACTCCTGTTTACTCCATTTAATCAAGTCTTGAAATATTTTTAGGGCTAAATATTTTTGTTAGCATACAAAATACTGAACTGTTCACATAGTTCTATGTAATATACTTGATTTTGTGAATCTGCTAAAGCAGTGGTTTGCAAAGTAGTTTGGCCTCTCCCACTGTTCTGTGAAGCCAGAGTGAACTCCCCTGTTCAGAGTTTTCAGTTAACAAATTGTTTTCAAACCAGTGTGATTTTCTGAAAGTTGTAAAAACAATTTTTGATCCCAGCTGTCTGACAGCCTGGCCCTGGTAAAATTTCCTCTTTACTAGGAACCATAAGGAATGTCAGTTGCTGAAAGTTGCAGGTACTTACCTTGCACTTTTTCAAGAAGCCCGAGGAATCAATTTGTCTCATTGCCCTTGACAGATTATTCTTCCTGTGGTTTTCATTACGCACTGTGGTTTAAATGAATTCTGCAATAAAGACAGGAGGGTCCTTCTAGTTACTTGCAGGTTCATGGCCTGAGATACGTGACAGATGTATCTTGGAATTCATATTAGAATACAGAAGACATTTGAAAGAACCTATTTTGAAGACACAATTATGATTTGGAAATGTTGGAGCATAGCATTTTATATCAGGAACTTTGACATGTGTGAATTTGAGACAATTATTTTGCAGTCAGAATATCAATGTAAAGCTCAGGTAATGTTATCATCTCAGTCTTGACAAATCCACTCTTCTTGAAAGGCTGTACCTTCCTTAGCAGTTAATTTCATTTTGTGTACCTTTTGTATTCTTCCCTTAAAAAACAAATCCAAAAGCAAAATGCCCCTCTTCTCAAGAAGGAGAAGACTATCAACTATGTTTGTGGAACTGTGACACATATTTCTTACAGTGGTAAATTTAAGTGTTAATGGTAAATATATTCAGCCTTTTAAAACCTTTTTTTTTTTTTTTTTCCCCAGACTTGGCAGATCTTACGAATCAAGAAAGACCTGAACTGTGTATTACCTTTAAGAGCAGCCATACAGAAAAGATGACCAATTTATTTCACTTTCTTATTGGATTCTGCTGAAATAAAGAAATATAAAAATCAAGAGGCAGTTTCCCCATGGTTTTTTATGACATGGTTTTCTCTGTAAACTTTTGTTAAGGAACTGTTTATAAGAAAGATTGCATATTTTATTATAAACATTTGTTAATTCAGCTGTTCCTTCAAACATATGTCTTCTGAAAATGCTTGCATTGTTGTCTTGTTGAAGAAATTCAAACAAACCGCAGGAATAAATTCATTTACAATGGAATTATGGGAATATACTGATTTGCTGTTTCCGTAATCTGTATAATCATTAATTCAGACATATTTAACTGTGAAATAGACATTCAGTCCTAAACTATGAGTAAGTCTGACTATATCCTTAAGGCATTGCACACAGTACTCACTTTATGAACAGACAGTGTGTGGATTATGTCTGCTTAACTGCAGTAAGCACTTTTATTCAACTAGGCATTTTCCAGCTTTATTTCCCTTTTATGTGGAACAACCAAGCAACAGTTTACGAAAATTAAGATAGATTGTGGTTGGTAGTGTCCTGGATATCAAGAACTGTAATCTAAACCAGAATTTTCAGGGAAAAGTTCTACTACAAAGATGTTTAAATAAAAACAGTCAAATCAGTATGGGTAAATGCTTCATATTTACACAGAATAGGCACAATACTTTTTACAGCTTTCTTTTACGTATTTTAAGTAGTAGAGATGTCTGCTTTGGAAAAAGAGCAAACAAGCAATCCAAAAAAACACCATCAAACCACCCCACAACCCTACCACTGTTAAAAAAGCTGTGCTTCTGTTTTGGCTTTGTGTAAGTATTTGTAAGTTGGTCAGCTGCTGTAAATTGAATTTAAGTAAGTAATCTTGAAAATTTTACCTCTTCCAAATCAAAGTTGTGAGCCCTCTTTTAGAAGACCTGCTGTAGCACAATTTGTGCCTCTCATATTTTCTATTGAAGACCAATTAATTGTTAAAACTGTACTTACCATTTATGTCAAATTCATATTTTCATTTTTAAAGTTTAGTATTTTGTATGGTGTTCAGTGGAATAAAGTTTCTTTATGGAAGACAGTTTATTTTTCCAGTTGATGTTATTTTGTAATGGTATTTTAAATATTTCCTTTCATTAAGTGGAAAATAAATGCCCTATAAAAATAAGGCCCCTGTTGCAAATGATGAACTTCTATATGGTTCTGCTCCATGTCTGAGTACTAGTAGAAATTCCATTTATTGCCGTCTGTAGTGTGATTGTGAAAACCCTTATAACTGTGTAACATAACAAGCATCTCATCTTGTGCAAACTTATGTTTCAAGTAAATTAAAGTTCTACAATTTAGAAGTTCCAAAAACTGTAAACTGTTTGTCTGCAGTGAAGTTAATTACTCCATACTTCATCATGAGCTAGTCTATGTAAGATTTTGTCTTGTTTCTTGAAACAGGTTCTTTATACAATTTAAAAGATCTTTCTCTTTTCAGTTTTTCTCTCCTGACGTGGGGTGAGAGTTGGTGTCAGTGAGACTCCCAAAGCGCCCCTTCATAGCTCCTCCTCTTTTATAGCCCTGTTTCACTTAAGCAAGTTTGACAGTGATGAGTAAGCATGGTTGAGACATCTCACCACTGAGAAGCTTGAGTGGACCTCTGCTCCTCCACCTTTTTCTCAGGCCCTGCTGCTTAGGGACATGGTTTAGCAGTGAACTGGTTAGTTAGGTTAATGGTTGGACTTCTTCATCTTAAAGATATTTTCCATTCTAAAGAATTCTGTTACTGCATAAGAGGGGGCATACCTGGTCAAACTTGGCAAAAAAGTATTTCATGTCAGTTGGATGTGAGGCACAAAACTTTATGCGTGTCTATCTCTTATGAGTTTGTATTGTATCACCAAAGCTGTTAACATATCCACATTTTAAATTACTCTTTTTTGATTGAAACTGTGTCTTCCTAACAGTTTTAAAATAGCTAAAAAAATGCTGCAACTCAGTAAACTCCTTGCAACTCTGTAAAAATTGACCCAGCAACTCAGCTGTGTTTTTCATACAAGCCAAGATCTGTAGCCCATATCTTTCAACAGAATCCTTTTGCTTTTTTTTTCCTCAAGCTTACGTACCATGATAATCAGAAATACAAAGTCTAGATGGTTGTTTTCCCCAAGTGTTTGGAGACACGTCTGGTTGTGACATCCTCTCTAAAAATGGAAAGTTCTTCAATACTTTACTGTGTTAGCTAAGCAAGGTGTAAGGTGGTGTAACCTCGTTTAGCTTTTAGCGAAAGAAGCCAGCGGGTAATCTGGCACGAGCAGGGCAAATGGCAGTGCTTTCACAGAAAATAATCAGAGAGGTTTGGAAGATTTCTCCGGATGTCATACATTATTCTCCTGCCAGGGCAAACAAGCAGCACCACTTTCCATGGAAATGCCAGACAACTTGGAATGATGGTGAGTGAACATAATGATATTTTTTAATGGTTGGCTGCAACTTTTGTCAGAAACCTTGAGATAAAATAACACAAAATAAATGGTTCAAGGAGAGCTAGTAAGAGCCAAACTTCAACTAACTTTGGATTCACTTCTGCGTAGTCTGGAGTTGTTCAGAGGTTTAATGGCCTGCATTTTCATCTACTCTGGGCAGGTAGCCAGAGAGAAATCCACTAATGGCTATCATAAATCTTAGTGCAAAGGTGTCCCTTCTCCTCAGCTTCAAGATAAAAAGCTTCGCAGACATACTCCTTGGCATACACCCTAGCAGGATTTTTTTCTGAAAGATCTTTGGCAAAAGGTGTTTTTTGGAGTTGACCAAGGTTTCAGCAATGGGTGCAAGATGCTAACCTCTCTGAGGCTCCTTACTGCCTTGAAATAAAAATGCTTTAGTTTAGCTCTGCTTGTTAATTTAGGACTAGTTTTGAATATTCCTTTTGGCGCTGGTTTTGCCTGTCATTCCTTACCTTACATAATGTCAGAAACTAGTAGTATCTCCTCTAGGATTTTTGGAACTCTTCTTAACTTTCTAGCAATGCTTTTAATTAACAGGCTCAGAGATGCATGGCAGGACCAAACATTAACAAGAGCTTCCCATTCAGTCATAGTAGTGCCAGACTGGCATAGGCTGAATGCTGTGAAACTTGAAATTTCTCTTCTAGCTCTCTTGCTCTCACTTTTCCTAAAAGGTGATTCTGTGATTTTAGTCTCTCTACCTTAAGGTGGTCTGACAGTCTAAGAGGCTAGTTTTAAGAAATCCCTTACAAAGAACTTAATATAAACCAATTTTAAGACTCAAATTGAAAGGTAATGTGGTTATTTGGGAGAAATGAGCATCCATGGTAAAAGGATGTGAGGTGATCTGTAGATAACCTGAAGTTAGCATTTGTGAATACCTTCTCAAGTCCGTATTTGAAACAAATGCTTTACTGAAGTTGGGTCACTAAACTCAATTCATAATATATTTGGTGTTAAATTTAAGTCCATCAGAGAATGTAACTCTTGGATGTAATGGACTCTACTTGCTCTGGGTTATCTCACATGTATTTTGTAGTGTTGGTTGCTTTCTCTAATAGTTGTGTGTTTTGATACAAATCTTTCTGTCACTGATTTTGCACAGTATGATGCTTGTAGGAAGAGCATGAAAGGATATGCTCTTTTGGTGAACTTACAGGTCAGATTAAGTTATGTGAGGTACAGAGGGCAAAGGACTAGGTCTAGAAATGATTTGAAGATGTTCTGGTAAAAGGATACTCAACTTATTTTTGCTGTGCTAACGACTGAATCAAAACTTGTCCCATATATGTACACTTCATACATAAGCACTTCTAGAAGATTGTAATGCTCTTGTCTTCCATGCGTAAGGAATGTGAAGTCCTGTACCTTAGATTTCATTGTGCCGTGTGCACTCTCTATGCTCATGATAAAATCTGGCGTTTATGTTAGTATCTGTTTCAAGTACACTTTGACAAATTGTGTTCTGACCTTGTAAATTGTGTACCTCTGTGGGTAGGTGCAGAGAGCAGACAGGTTTTATCTTTATGTACTGCTTAGGAAATATTTTAATTCAAGTGAATCTGTCAGTAGAATTATAATTTAGCATTGTGGAGAGACCTTGTACTCAGCAATACATGCTTGAGTGTTTCTGTACTCTAACACGAGAAAGAATTTCTTTGAAGAACAAACAAACAAACAAACAAAAAATGGAAAGAAGAAATGGGATTAGAGTTACATTGTGTATACGATGTTTTGTACCTGAAATAACTTGTAAGTTATTTGTTTAGAATTAGAGGCAAGATGCTTCCCCCTCTCTTCTAAAAAATAGTTTTTTAAAAAAATCATTACTTTGCCTAGTACAGGTTGGAAACATTACAATTTTTGTCTATAAAAAGCACTGCATTTTGTGTGAAATGCAGAATAATAAAGAATAGACATGGGTTAACCTAAACTCTACATGGTAATGTAGTTTGTATTTGCTTCTAATTAAAATTGTTTCAGATCTTCTCAAAGAGGAAATTTGAAATGTCCTGTGATTTAACAATTGGACAAATTTGGGGATTCAAATATATTTCCTGTATGTTGTTAAAAAATACAGTGCATCTGATATCCCTTATTGTTTGGTATTCATTGTTAAAGGCATGTCTTTAAGGCTCATCCACTCCTAGTTGTATTTGACCTCTCTAGCTCAAATTTGAGGCGTGCCGGGTCCTCTGGGTGCGTGGGGGTGGGACTTGCTCTTGTCTGCGCTGAAGGCACCTTTTCCTGGAACCACCAGAAAACTCTCCTCCTCCGTCTGTGCCATCCCCCTCAGCCTGCCTAGAGGTGGCTGAGGGCAACTGTGGGGGCCCAGCCCCTTGCTCCCCACTGCTGCAGAGCTGGGCAGCAGCAGGAGGCCCAGGGGTGAGGAGCCAGCTGGACGGAGCTGCCAGGTTCTGCCACGTGTCGCGGCGCCCGGTTGGTGCTGGGACCCAGGGCAGGGCTGGCAGCGGGTTGGGGGCGTCACAGCCCTGCCTTCTA